GCACCCAGTGCCCCTCGAGAAGCTCCTGGATGCAGCAGGATTCAGCTCCCTCCTCTGCGCTCCACACACTCACAGGAGGTTTCCCCTGCACCATAGTTGATGTCTCTCTGCACGGGGGCTTCCTGCCTAAGCTGCCACTGTGACCAGCAGAGATGGGGAGAGGGAGGCAGCTGCACACACACACCCACCGTTGGGCTCTGGAAGGGACAGGGGTGCTCCAAGAGCTGTGGAAGTGTCTGCTGCTCTCCTGGAGCAACCGGGACTGCCACGGCCTCCTGGAGCTGCAGCTGGGCGTGAGCTGCGCAATCTCCTTGGCCGCCTGCAGTGACACTCGATGCCGACTGTCCCTGGAGCTCCTCTCACTATGGAGCTCAGACCTGCACAACTCCTGACAATGCAAAGAGCCCATGGAACTAATATGGAGCAGACAGTGGGGTTAGGCTGGGATATGAGAGCATCTCTGCTGTCCATTTCCGAAGCTAGTGGTTTTCCAGCTGAGATCAAGGCCTCAGAAACCTGGTCTCACCCCAAAGCTGACCCTGCAGGAAGCACATGCTATGTACAATGTACTGTGCGCTATGGCTGTTGTATCTGCCACCCAGGAAACACTGCGGTCTCTTTGTGCCCGTTAACCTCCTGGGAACGATGAGAGCCGTCAAGAGTTTGTCCTGCACTCGGCATTGCTCATCCTCCCCCGTGTACTGATGCCAAGAAGAGCCCTGGGCAGCACATGCAAGAAAGGATCTCGCTTCCCAGAGTTCCTCTATCCATGCTTGGCCACTTCCCTTCATAAAACACATCAAGGGAGTAGGCAGCATCAGAGCCACCTGAGTGTTTCCTCTACCTAACTATTATCAGTCATTATATTTTTTTAGTTTTAATGAGCCCCTGATGACTTGCTGTTGTTAATGGCCTCAATGGGACCCATTAATGTTGTGCAAAACTTTAGGGTTTGCTTCTGACTTGGAATTCTGCAATATTTTGTTCAATCTTCTTTCAGTAGCTGCAATTCATGCACTCAGCTGCAAGGACACCAGGGGGCTCATTAAAAAGAAAACTCTGCTGATAAACATTCTCTATCTCCGCGATTTTCTTCAAGCCTTATTCTGGGCAACCTGTTCCAGGATGAGAAGTTTGAGTGCATCCTCAGCAAATTAGTGTGCCAAGTCCTGCACTTCAGTCACCAAAACCCCGTGCAACACTGCAGGTTTTGGGCAGAGTGGCTGGACAGCTGCATGGCAGAAAAGCATCTGGGAATGGTGGTTGACAGCCGTCTGACTATGAGCCAGCAGTGTGGCCAGGTGGCCTAGAAGGCCAACACCATCCTGGCTTGTATCAGGAGCAGTGCACCCAGCAGAACTAGGGAAGTGATCTTCCCCCTGTGCTCTGGAGGGTTGAGGATGTACCTCAAATCCTGGGTTCAGTTTTGGGTCCCTCACTACAAGAAAGACAGAGAGGTGCTGGAGCATGTCCAAAGCAGGGCAATGAAGCTGGTGAAGGGGCTGGAGCACAGACCTTATGAGGAGTAGCTCAGGGAGAAGGACTTATTTAGTGTGGAGAAGAGGAGGCTCAGGGGAGACCTTATCAGTCTCTACAACTACCTGAAAGGAGGCTGTAGTGAAGTGGGTTGATCTCTTCTCCAAAACAGCTACTGATAGGACAAGAGGCAATGGCCTCAAGTTGCCCCTAGGGAGGTTCAGGTAAGATATTTGAAAAGAATTCTACAGGGAAAAGGTGCACTTAAAGAAGAGTCAACCATTTGAACAGGCTGCCCAGGGAAATGGTGAGGTCACCACCCCTGGCAGTGTTCAAGAAGCATGCAGATGAGGCGCTTAGGGACATGGTTTAACAGATAATGCTGTTGAGGGGACTACAGTTGGACTCAATGATCTCAAAGATCTTTTCCAACCATGATTAGTCTATGATTATGAGGTCCTGGTGGGGCAAAGCTGGGAGAGTTCCAGGGAGTTTCTCTTGTGGCAATGCCCTGTGCTCTCCTGGGGGCTCCATATCTGTTTCCAGACAGGTCATACAGGAGATGCTGCTTGACCATTCACCATCTGCAGGAGCACTGGACACTCAGTGACCAGAGACCAACCAAGGAGAGACCAACCTTGAAGCACTGCACAGAGGAAATCTCCTTTTATTAGAGCAAAGCCATGACAGACACAGTGAGGGACACGTTCACAGCAGGCATCAGACAGACTGTATTCATTCCTCTAGAGAAGTCAGGAGAATTTAAGCACGTACAGTAAAATAATGATAGTTATAGAATTCCTAACCAACAGAGATGTATGAGCTGAATTGGAAACCACTTGTGAAGATAGATATTCCCCTTATTTCTGATGAACTAGTACCAAATGAACCAGTTTCCTCACTGTATGCTGCAGCTCCCTGTTCCGCATGCTGTAGATCAGAGGGTTCAGGGTTGGGGGCACCAYTGAGTAGAGAACGGCCAACACCAGATCCAGAGTTGATGATGAGATGGACAGGGGCTTCAGGTAGGCAAACACGTCAGTGCTGACAAACAGGGAGACAACAGCTAGATGTGGGAAGCACATGGAAAAGGCTTTGTGGCGGCCCTGCTCAGAGGAGATCCTCAGTACAGCTCTGAAAATCTGCACGTAGGACACCACAATGAAAAGGAAACACCCCAAAACTAAACAAGCACTAACCACAATAACTCCACTTTCCCTGAGGTAGGCATCTGTGCAAGAGAGCTTGAGGATCTGAGGGATTTCGCAGAAGAACTGCTGAACCACATTGCCTTGGCAGAGTGGTAAGGAAAATGTACTAGCAGTGTGCAGAAGGGAATAGAGAAACCCACTTGTCCAGGCAGCTGCTGCAATTTGGAAACAAGCTCTGCTGTCCATGAGGGTCCCATAGTGCAGGGGTCTGCAGATGGCAACATAGCGGTCGTAGGCCATGACTGTGAGGAGATAATACTCTGATGCCATGAAAAAGACAAACAGAAAGACCTGTGCAACACATCCCCAGTAGGAAATGGCTCTGGTGTTCCAGAGGGAATTGGCCATGCATTTTGGGACAGTGGTGGAGATGGAGCCAAGATCAAGGAGGGAGAGGTTGAGGAGGAAGAAGTACATGGGGGTGTGGAGGTGGTGGTCGCAGGCTATGGCTGTGATGATGACTCCATTGCCCAGGAGGGCAGCCAAGTAGATGCCCAGGAAGAGTGAGAAGTGCAAGAGCTGCAGCTCCCGTGTGTCTGTGAATGGCAGGAGGAGGAACTTGTTGAGAGAGCTGCCATTGGACATTTGCTCTTGGTTCACAGCACTGTTCAATGAGGGAAAAGCATCAACAAGTTAGAAAGGACTTCTCTGAGCAAAACTCATTCTTCTCTTCATAGTACCTCCAAAATGGCCTTTCTCCATTACCTTGTTCAGCTCTCATCTGACCTCTGGTTTGTGCTCGCTCAGTGTGCTCTGTGCCTGTGCTTGGGCATCAAAGCAGTCAGTCCTGCTCTTGTGGGTGGTTAAAATCGCGGTGTCAAATTTCCTCATGGATTTGGTGAGGAGACCTGGGGATGGGCACCTTGAACTGAGTGTAGGGGATTTCATCCAGTGACAGAATAGAAATATTCTCCACTTACTGTTGCACAAGTGACAGCTCTCAAGACAGCTCTGTTTAAAAGAGAAGATCTTTGAGAGGGATTCATTTCCCCCTCACCTCCATCTGACCCTTTTCTTTCTCTTCACTGTTGCTTCACTGTTGCTAGCAAAGCAGTGGGAGAGGGAAGWTCCTGCCTTAACTGCAGCTGAGTCCCCATCCTTAGCTCCAGGAAGCAAGAACCAGACCAGCAGGGAGAGGTGAAGAAATGAGGAGCATTAGTATGAACTTTCTTCCCAGGGAAAGTAAGGAGTAACACAGAGAGGAGCACTGAGTAAAACCTTCACCTCCCCAGGCTGTGCATGCCACCGCTCAGATGGCAACACCTCAGGACAGACCCTCAGTGCCCTTCTCCTGCAGTGGGAAAGGACCAGGCTGCAGGAGAGATCCAGCCCCTCTCCCACTAAGGATGGGGCTCATGACTGGCACCCCATGTCCTTGAGGGCTGAGAGAGGAGACACGGGGCTTTGCTGAGAGGAAGACGTCTGCTTTGCAGGGACTCACCAAGGCTGATCCAAATCCTTCCCTCTCACACCAATTGCCTTTCTACATCCCTCCCACTCGCTGATCCTATCTCTAAGGATGGAATTTTTCCTGCTGACAGCTGCTCCCCTCCCCCACGTCTTCTCCCGGTCACTGCCACACACACCATCCCACCCCCTGGGCACCGCCTCTGCCCTACAGCAGGATCCAGCAGCAGAGCGCTGGCCAGGGACATCTCCATGTGTGCAAGTGGTAGGGACCAGGGTCACACAGACCCTGCTGAGGCCACACAAGGGGATGCTGGTGCTGTCTGCAGTCAGGGGAGGGCACAGGGCCTTGCTGAGGTTCCTCACACATCTCTCCATGGAAAGGACTAGAGKGTCAGGTTCCTGCTATCACCTGGCATKTCCTTTCCATACACCCCCAGCTCTTCACAACCACAAGGACACAGGGAATCTCCTCATCTTTAACATTAACTGCCTGCACTGTCCTCTTCAAAAGGCCCCTTCACAATATGAMCCTGCCATSATGGGGGTCTCTCCTCACACCCAGASCTTCTCYCCGCAGCACATGGGGATTTYCCAGGCAGGGTGGGTGCTGACCCTCGCAGGTGGCACTCACTGCCCTGGGCACACAGCACCCTGGGGTGCAGGGACACTGCTCGGCATTACAGCCCATGCACAACTGGGGGCACTCGCTGGCTTCGCACCCCTGCACCATCCTGGGGAGAAGGCAGCTGTGATGCCCTGTCCCTCTGATGGTCTGACTGGCAATCCCTGCTCTAAAGCACCCCCAGCTCCAACAGGAGAAGCTGCTAGAGCCACCCTGAGAGATCCCATCAGCTGGGGAAGGTGCCAGGTTCAAAAGAGCCCTCCAGGAACCACAGCACTCTTGTCCTGCAGACAGACACTTACCATGGCACAGGCTGGGAAGGTTTCTCCCTGCAAGGAGCTCTCATTTGTCCTCCCATGCCCAACTGTCCTTCGCTTAGGAGCGACTCATCCCAGCCTGGTGCCTGCGGGCAGTGACCTGAGTCTTGGTGCTCCTTTAAGAGGAGCTGCTCCTGGGCAGAGCTGTGTCTCTGCAGTGCCTGCCACGTTGCCAGGGGCTCCCGCAGTCCCAGGAGCCAGGCCCAGCTCAGGAGCAGGGACCCAGCTGGAGATGGGAGAGTTTCTGTCCCCTGAGCAGCCTCCAGGGGTTTCTGGGGCTCCAGGGATGTGAGAGGGGAAGCGGTTTGGGTGTCTACAGGGTGCAGGGGCACAGCTGCAGGTAGGAACCAGCATAGGACAGGGTCTTCTCAAAAGCTCAAAGCCACCAAAAGACTCAAAGCCACCAAGGGAGCAAAGGAGGTCTTCATCCTCTTGGTGTGGCTGTTGCCTCTGCCACCAACAGAGACACCCTGAAAGGTGTCATATCATTGCCCTGCCCTGAGCACTGCACACCCCCACCCACACACTGTCCACAGGAAGACCTGGAAAATGTGGAGGAAACAAGCCCCCTTCCCAGGAGCTTAGTGACTGAGCCTGGGCATTTGGCCTGATAAAACACATCAAGGGTTAATGTGGCATCAGAGCCACCTGCACATTTCCCCTGCCTACCTGTTATCAGTGAGGACAATTTTCTCCTCTAATCAGCCCCTGGGGAGTCTTTGCTCTTAACATCTATCAGTGGGACCCATTAAAACTCAACCAAATGTTGGGGGTTGATTTTGACTTGGAATTCTTGAACATTTTGTTTAGACTCCTCACAGCAACTGAGGTTCAGGGGCTCAGAACCATACACTCCATGGGGCTCATTAAATTATGAAAAGCCCTCACAAACCATGACTCTCCCTGTAGTTTTCATGAAGTCTTACAAAGCTAATTGCAGAAGTCTGGGGAGTGTAGCTGAACGTTGCAGACATCAATAATGTTCAAGTATTTCTGCTTTTAAAGTGTTTTATATTATTWYTTTTTTTTTTTTTTTTTTTTTTTTTTTCCCCCCAGATTTAAGAGTGACAGCAGCATTCTCCAACTGGAATCAATCCAGAATGACTCCTAATGAAGTCTGGACATGTAGAAAACCAGTGTTCCAGACCTCAAGCACTGTATGGACACTCGTCCTCCCTCCTCCCCAACCTGTCATTCCTCTCATCAGCCACCTGGGACTTGCTTCACTCTTGTGAGAAGTTTTTCTGTTCTTCTGAAGTCGCAGCTGAAGGTTACAACTCGTCTGCTCCAACACTCACCTGCTTCCCTTAGAGAACTAGCTGCAAATAAACACTTTTTGTTTTCCTAAATTGCAATGAAAAAGAAATAAAGCATGAAATAATTTCTTCAATACAAATTGTTCTCTTCGAGTGCAGGCTAAGTCCTACGAACAAGTACACTTAAAACAAGGGATAGCCTTTCTGAAAGAAAAAGCAATCTTTAAACTTCCATTTAAAGTGCCAATCAGCAGTTGGGTCTCTGAAGGAACACAGAGGAACAGGAGGAGTCACAGTACTGCAGTTTCACAATGGCCAGTTCGTGTCCCATAAAGATGGTGTTAGAAATTATCAAATTAAGCAGGACATATGGGAATGGGAGAGTCATACAGCTCCTGCAGGCCCTGGGTCATGATGCAGGACATACTGCTTCTGAAGATCATAGACCTGCCTGTGCCTCTCTACAAAAGTAGGCAAAAACCTGTGATGCAAGTCCCTAGAGAGGAGGGATTTTCCTGGATGCTCCAAGGAACTCAAGCAGGACTTGGGCATATCAAAGGAAACCCAACACACCAACACCAAAAGCACTGGACCTTCCTGAAGCCTCGTGCTGGGAGCAGGAGCGGACAGCAATGTCTTAGACTTCCTCCATCAGGCCTTCAGCTCCACTACTTGCCATGTCTTTAAGGGAGCTCCCTAAACCAATACTTCCCATGAACCAGGTGCATTTAGGAGAATAAGGAGACATGGAGAAGACAAGGGAGACTCTAGGGTGCAGAACAGGCCTCCCTGTGCCATAGACACATTGCTAGAGGCTGAATAAGCAACGCAACGAAAGGACGTGCCTCCCTTTGCTGTGCCTTGGAAAGACACATTTCTGAGAAGCTTAAATAGGAATGGGGTTTTCCTTCTTCCAGATTTGCCCCAGGACAGGACAGGACATGGTGACCAACTTCAGAACAAGTTGAAATGCAGTTCCGGAGGCAAGTCACTTCCTTACAGGCTCCATATGGGAGCCTGGACAGCAGTGCTGCACTGCGTGGACCTGTCCTGAGACACCAAGTGTCAAAAGTGTGCGAGACCCAGGGTGCCAGGGCTCTACAGATCCCAAAGAGGGGCAGGGGCTAGGAATGACACCCAGGGGAAAACACTGCCTGGAAGTGACATGGAAAAGCCCAAGGACTAAATAAGGTTCAAGATGAAGAACGGCTTTCCTCACGGACAATCGAGGTAAATCTGGCAAAATTCATGACACTTGGTGTCATGGATTTGCTATCTGGCTTGACCCAGGGTATTGGAGCCTAGCAAGAACCTATGTCCAATCTCAAGTCCTCTGGAAAGAAGACATGTCTTAAGGACTGTATGTATGTCAGGATGTATGTTTGCTCTTTTCTGACATAACACGTGTATCCTACCAAAGACCCTGAAACCTTGCTGAGGACTTTTAAAGGCAAAGGGATTGAAGAGCCTGACTCTGCAGAGTACATTTCTTGAGACAGCAGAAGGAAATCCAATGCCCTGCTGAAGGCAGACGCCAGTAGAGGAGGAATCTTGGGGCCCTTTCCAGTGAACTTTGGAGTATCTTCGAAGAAGGAGATGTGAGAATCTCTCTGGATCCCTGTGCCACAGCTCAGACATGCCCATAGAGAAAAACAGTGGTTCTCAACATCTAAGAAGAATTTCCTGTTCTCGCTCTTTTTTTCCCCTTCACTCACTGTTGCCCTGCACGCCATTCATGGGTCCCTCCAAGCAAATCCAGCTGATCTGAGCTCTCCACAAGGGAGCTGTGCACAGCATGAAGATCCCCCTTGGCATTCTCTGGTCTAGGCTGAACAGAATGAGTTCTCCCGGCACCTCCTTATCTACACCACACTCCTGCCCCTGACCATCTTGGTGTCCTTGTGCTGGAGCCCTCCTGTGTATTATTGCCTTGGTAGAACTGGAGAGACCAAATGGGATCTTCTGTACATAGTCTCCACTGTGACA